TTTTTCTTCTATACAAATGTTTTTTGCTGTTTTGTTTTGTGTATAGGGTGATTATTAAAACTCAAAACAGAAGGCCAAACAATATACAGAAAACCTTACGGCAAAGTTACAAAACTCAAATCAAAATTCTACCTTTTTCTGGGTAACTTAATCGGGCTTTGAACAACCCGGCCCAGGAGCTACGCTTTTAGGCTGGCCTAAATCTATATATCACAAAACCCAACATTGGCTCCTGAAGGAATGATGACGTAATCTTAAATCATTCATCTCATTCAGTTTAATATCCGGCTGAAAGAATTTCAAATTTACGAAGCTGTCGCAAAATGACAAAAACTTCAGAAAAAAATTAACCGGAACCGGGGAAATAAACGGATTAAGAATGATAAATGGCACTTTCATAGCATTTTAATAGAGTGCCGGAATATTTAAAAAGAGAACGATTGAGGAANCCCCCCCAAAAAAAATACACAGATGAAAGCTACGTCCTACGTAGATAAATGCTACGTCCTCGCAAAGAGTTTTAAACCTTCAAGAATATTCGAAGAACCTACTCATTCACTGGAGCCTATGGAAACCTATGGATGTTTACCGTTGACAAACCCGAATGATACTGCTTTTACGTGATATAATGTAAGTATACCAATGTTGTTTTCCTGAGTTTGCCGAAAACACAGGTAAATATCACTGCGGTTAGTGTGTATGCGTTGCTTGAGGTCTTTTTCTTCCACATAAGTACGCCTTAACGCCGTGACACGCGCTACAAACTAAACAACTAAAGGAAAAGGAAAGACAGACATGCATGGGCTGATGATATACCGTCTTAATTAAATGCTACGTCTTCTTAAGGTCTTGTGTTTTTCCTCAAACGTGCTTAAACTGATGAACTGCCCACCACAAAATGAGCTCATGTGCCGCAGGTCTACTGTTTATGATGCAATCAAAAATGTTGATCGCGAAAAAAACAATGCTGCAAGGTAGGGCGATCAAAATGGCCAGTCCGCCACTAAAAAGTCCCCCACAAGACAAATGAACGAATTATGTCCTTTTATCTCACAATCTATTGACGATAGGCTGGCGTGGTTTGTTCTATTAACCATAGACATGCTTCAGTTATGTGGGCGATGTTTAGAATATATTAAAGGAGACTTGCAAATGAGCCGCCTTGGCCACATCTCGGTTGTTAGCTTGCTGTTTTAGCGTCAAGTTACAAACTCCAGTTTATGATGTGGACAAGTTAAAACTGAAAGATAAAGAGCTTTTCGAAGGTTGAAGGTTTTCTACATCTTATGATTGTTTAAAAACTCTTCCCACCCCTCTCACTTAGGGCCCCGTCCACACTTTGAAAACGCAACTTTATTTCTGCGGCTAGGCCTACTGTCCAAACTAATCCGCCACGAAAACAGAACTTTTCGAAAATGCTCTTCAAACCGGGGCAATTTGAAAACACCGGCTTTTCGTTTTAGGTGAAAACGGAGCTTCTCGAAAACGGCGGATGGCGTCACGATAATCATTACGTGATTTCCCTGACTGAGTTTTCCTCAAACTCAAATCCAAAGTGACCGGTGATTGTTGCAGTTTTTAACTTCTCCGGCGTAGTGTGGACGGAAAACATTTGATGCGTTTTAAGAGTGAAACTTCTGTTTTCAAATTTCTCCGGCATAGTGTGGACGGAAAACATTTCATGCGTTTTAAGAGTGAAACTTCTGTTTTCAAATTTCTCCGGCGTAGTGTGGACGGAAAACATTTCATGCGTTTCAAGAGTGAAGCCTCCGTTTTCAAATTTCTCCGGCGTAGTGTGGACGGAGTCTTAATCTGATTCAAAACCAAAACACATTTGCTGTGATTGGCCATTCTGAATGCTTTGGTTTTGAGTTTTACGAGAATTAAACGAGAACCGCTCAATCACCAAAGATTGTAGTATTAATTCGTACAATGAAACCCGCTCGGCTGTAAGAACGGCAAGTAAGGTGCTGCAGTCCTGATGTCAACACACAAATCTTTTATATTGATGTCCCAGAATTAACGCGCATTTGCTTGAGGTGATCCTTTTTTATTCCCATAACCTATTTCCCTAAGTTGTTAATTACATTTTGCAAGAATTTAAAACGATTATCGAACCGTTGACTAAATATTGATTATCAAAAAAATTGCGGCTTCTCACAAAAGCGGGCGATTTTAATTGAGCTTTAACGTCGCATCTAGAGGTCATATATCAATTAAAGAAACGAAATTAGGTCGATAAATCATTCCTGTTTTGGCTGCTATGGTAGAATAATAAGGTCCTGTCACTAACTATTTGTTTTTTCCTTGTTATTTATGTAGACGACATCCGTTCAAGAACAATGACGGACGTATTGTTAGCCACGTTACGTCTCGCGTGAATAATGAAAGAAAATGAAGAGAGCATGACTCATTTATAATCCATAAATAATACCTAATAGAGAGTCATACAATCAGCCGGATCACCCGCCTGTGAAAAATATGCAAAAACACATCTTTAATCACCCACCGCTTCCACCGAAGGGAGCAGAAATTCGTACACAACTACTGCAATTGAAAACTATTGTTTGTCGATTCATAAAGGGCTAAGTAATTCACATGTTTATGTGCGTATTGCGAAGAGCAAAAGAAAAATTTGCTGACGGAACTTGACAAGCCTGGAAGAGAAACTCTTTAACAAGTAGTAGAGAGTCAGGAGAGGCGGCTAAAAATAGCACAGGTAAGTTTGCATTCGTTGTAGCAAATAGAGTCATTTCAGGTTGACAGAGAATATCGTGATTTTGCCATTTTCTTGGCGCATACGTATACACATAAATTCCTGACTTTGTTGCATTCCCTTGCGATGCATTTGTTTCCAGGCGCCGTAAGGGACGTTTTACGTAAGAGCGCTAAGATGACAACTGTCGCTACCAAAATGCTTTGTTTTGATTGAAGATGATAGCACCAACAGCTCCGGGCAAAATAACGTATTCAATAACGGTTCGATTTGGTAAAAAGAATACCAGTTTTATATCTACCTAGCCCGGCAAAAAACTCAATGTTTAAAGATAGAAATCTAGTTAGGAACTGTACTATTCAAACCCACATTTTAAACTTACTTTCATATTCTCGAAGATAAGCTCCAAGAATAGTCAATCATTGTTAAAGGATCTTGAACGTACATTGCTTTGTGTTCTTTGATTGTTGTTGTAGTCTTAAAGGTTTTGTTTTAATTCAAGCAAATATGTCCACATTTTCACGTTCAACTGAAAACAAGAAATACAGAAAAACTGTTGTTAACAAATTACTGTGCTGCACAAACTGTTGTCATTAAAACGTACAGGCGTTATTGAAATCACGAGATGTCGATGGCATACTATTCCTTCAGTCTGGCTAGAACCTCAGTCTCTATTGCCAGTAGTTAGTCGTGATATTAGATTTGAGAACGTTTCATTATAGATTGGTAGCATCGACTGGACACTGAACAACAACTTTTTCAAAAGCGTTACATCATATCTTAGTACACAGTACCAGATGAGAGTCCAGGTGTTAAACCTATGCACTGATATATCAATTTCTCTGTCATTGTAGTAAAAGGGTCAATGGTCCTACATATTAGCTCTATAAAACGTTCTTCATATCCTATCACCGAGCAAACAAACCATTTCAGTAAAAGTGACAGCACTTCAGAAAAGTGGCATGCTCGCCATGTTGTTTTCGCCGCGCCGTACTGCATCAAGCATAAAAGTACACAGGGTATAATTATGCCAATTCTTCCATCTGTTCAATAGTTTTTCGATCTCGAAATTCTTAGTATATCAATTTAAAGTCACTTTGGATAAACATTCCATAAACGCATTTGAGAAGGAACGTCTGAAATTAGTCTGAAAACAATGCTTAAGTCTATGTGGATGAGTGTTATTCACAGAATAATTAACAGGCATACTTTAGTAGGATCAGAAAATAGTTTCCACAACATCGGACGAAGATGAACAATACATTTCTTAAAAGGAAAAACCGCAGTTTAATTTACACCCCTGGGTGAAATATTCGCTTTATGCACGGCTTAACCGTTCTGACGGTATCCTTTGAATTGCGGTACTCAGTTTTGTTTGTTTACTACATAAATTACCCGGGGCCAGAGACTAGTTATTAGTGGGTTAGCTTGCGCGATCAGTACTAGCTGATAGGCCGTGGCTATTTTTAATTAGTTCTCGAAGATTGTTTGCCGATGCTGTGAACAAAACTTTAAACGAGTCCCTATATCATACATATAGGAAGATTTGGTTTACTTAGTAACCTGCTATCAGCAAATGTTATTGACGTAATAAAATAGCGATCACTTGTACGGAAAGATTGTCATAAATATCAGTTGCAACTTCATTAAGTTTCCTTCGAAACAGTAGAAATTGATTTGAATAATAATAACAATATTCCTCTTGTCTTAAATTGTTTAGCGCCAGCTGACATTGATAAAATCAGTAGAGTATAAACAATTAAATTCGGACAACCCGTGAAATTTAATAATCCCAACCGATGGATCAAAATAAACTAAGATCAATCTTTTTCAATCACTTCGAATCACAAAACAAACGAGGTCAACTGAATTACAACACACTGGAGTTATAAATTATTACCTTTCGAAAATTAGTAACTCATAAATCTTTGAAATACACTAATAAAGTAGGCATTATTATTTATATAAGCAAGTTAAAAGTAACGATAATGTCATGACGTTTCGGCCACCTCATGACGTCATTATCAAGGAATGAATAAATGAGAGCGAGTTCAAAAGAGGTAAGACCTGTATATTTACAAAAATGAAGTTAAGTTAGACAAAGGCTTCCGCGCGCTAAAGTATTATATTTATTCATTCCTTGATAATGGCGTCATAAGGTCGCCGAGATGTCGGGACATTATATCGTTAGTCTTTACTTGCTTTATATGTTTCAAAAGCATTGTTACTAATTATTATTTATTATTTTTCATTATTTAGTCAGTTCTGTAAACACTGAAAACAATGAAATCTCTAACGACTGTTAATCGTCTGGATTTTGTTTATGAAATGTAAAATATTTAAACAATTAGAGCACTTTTTCCGTGTTTACAAAGCCTCACCTAAACACGAGGAGGGTTGGGAGAATTCGAGACAGTTTTGCAAACCCGAGACGTAGCCTAACTTTCGAGAATTCTCCCAACCCTCCGAGTGTTTAGATGAGGCTGTGCAAACACGGAAAAGGTGTTCGGTTGCTTTTATAAAATAATCCTCAAAAATACGCGCGAATCTAACACGTCACAACCGGGTTTACATACTTTCATCTAAACACACCTATCGACCAATGAGAGCGCGCGTAATAGCTCAGTTATTTTACAAAAGGGTAACATTGAGGATCGGCGAAAGTCTTGTGCCACAACCGGATTATTGCCAGTCCATCGCACTTTTATCACAGTATCAGGTTTGCTGGTGGATAAAAAATTTCGCTATCACTCAATTATTTTCCTGGGTAAAGAAAATCACTGTGCAGAAATATAGTGTATAGCTTAAATGGAAGAACTCGACATGATACTCTTCGATGTTGTTGTGGGTTTCCTAATAAAACGATTTTTTTTTCAATTTTAAGTATTATGCGAAGCAAAAAACACACTTGGAAAATGTTCAGAAATACGAGTGCTGTAGTACAGGACAGTGTTTGTGTTGAGTAATCAGCGATTGTGCTATTAGTCAATTCTCCAAAATAGAACTACTCGAAAAGCTCGAGTTTCTTTCTTTCTACACCTATAAATCGCTCGACTGAACCTGACTACTGTGCTACACGAGTCGTCTCGAAAGTACACTTTGACGCTAATTGATGCTACGCAAGACTCAGATTACCTTTCGGAACTGAATTTAATTCAGAGATGGTGTTAATCGAGCCTTAGATTAAAATATGTGTTTTATTTATATATCGACACTCGCCGACAACCGTAATTTTCACTCTATGAAGATAACTAATGCAACCAAGTAAAACAAGCGCGGAAACAGAATTTTACTAATTAAAATCCGTATTGTGACGCAAAGCATTTATTTTTTTTAACGTGTCAAATAAACGTCCCTGTCGTTGTTAATGTAGCTTTAGCAACTTTTCCCCGCCTGTAGAAACGCTGTCTATTTGTCAAGACTTCTCCTTTTCTCAATTTGTTTTGCAAAAGTCTCAAGTCGCATCAATCTGAAAGACTCACTTTTTGAATAAGTTAAGAAACGTTGAATGGCAAAATAAACAGTTTTGACATACTTCAGTATTATATACCGTCTGGCTTTGAAAATTGATACACGCCACCCGCAGTCAAGCGAAAACCAAGTCCGAGAGTGATTGGAAACTTAATTGCGCGATAATTCTATTTTGTTAAAACACTGACCGTTTTCTTTAATATTAAAAGTTTGATGTTATTTTAGCACAAACTTCAGAAAGAAAACTCTCAGGAAAATTATCATTATTATTATAATTAAAATAACTAAGTCTTTTACTTAAAATTACATCTATAGACCTGATCGAAGACCTCAGACAGAAGTCAGGTACATATACGGTCCAACCTCCCCTTACTGCCAACTCAAGAACAGTCCACCTGATCCCAGAAAAAAAAAAAAACAGAATTAAGAAAAGTCTCTAACTCTATCATACAGACACCTGCATAATGCGGACAGTAGGGTTTTACCGCTTTTGTTTCCGTATTAACGAGGTTTGACTGTAATTTGGTGAGCCTAGTTAGAAGGTGCCAGTGGGTTGATATGGCAACAAAGGGATCTAACCAATAACATGCTGATCAAACGAGATAAACTGTCAATAGCATAGCTACGTGAAATCAAACTGAGCAAACAGATGGAAGGCTTTCTCAGTTTGTTTTAAGTCATATATTGATGCAAATTATGAGCACTAACGAAACTAGATGAAGAATCGAAGACAGTCTGTTTTGTAAGTGGACAATTAGACCTTAAACGTAAGGTATGACACTGGCCAGTTGTTCAAAAGGTGGATAACGCTATCAACCGGATAAATCGCTATCCAGTAGACAAGTGTTAACAAAACAAACCACGCTTTCCACTGGATAGTGATTTATCTGGTAGATGGCTTTATCCACCTTTCGAATAACTCGGGCCTCCTCTAAACAGTTTCGATTCGTTAAAACTTGGCAAAACTTCAAAAACAGTTTATTGTTATATGCAGATGTACATTATATTAACACCACGTTAAGTTAATTTTTTTCGATTGCGTGCGTTTATTTTGACCGCAGTAAACAACATGAAAGACCTTTCTTCCAAACGAAGGGTTTACAAACAGTCTCAGTGTTTTGCATATAGCGATCATATTGTGCATCATAACATATAACATATAACATATAACATATAACATATAACATATAACATATAACATATAACATATAAACATAAAAAATTGCTTCTAAATGTTTATTCCAAGATTTAACTGAGACCCACCGCCGGTCTAATTGGCTCACAAGTGTATTATACTGTATCACAAGGGAAAAAATTTCTTCAGGAAGTGTTCCTCGTCATACCATGCATCTATCTAGCTATCGCATATGTCTAATGAAACACAACCAGTCAATGCAGAGACTTCAAAGCAAGATGGCGAGGAGCGGCGGCAGCACAAAGCGACGTGTTAATCCGCATCAGCTCAGATTTTAGATCATCATTTACATTCCACTCTAATAGCAACCATCTTCATGGCAATAACGCTGATTTTCCCGATTGTAACCCAAACTAGACTGTGTCACAGCCGCACGCCCCGAAATAAAAAAATCGGAGAGAAGTCTCCCGCAAGGAAAACAATACCACCTCAAAGTCCTGTGCCTCTTTATTCTGGGAAGCTGTCTGTTTGTGGCATTACGCAATGTGTACAGATGAAAAATTATTCAGCGATAATAACAATTAACTGCATGAGGGGAAGCAAAGATTGGCTCACGACAGAATACTGGTTAAAAGTAATCTCTAGTAGAGAAGGCTTTCAAGTAATTTAATCTTCTGATTGTTCTCTTTTGCCACAGATTTCAAGCTGGAGGACAACCCGTCATGGAAATCCGTTATTTACGTCTCAGGACATTTTACGCCTTCCTGTTTATTCACTTTGCTGTGTCGGAAAACATTCATTTAGGTGTCATGCTGCCAACATCAAGGTCTGGATTTTCTGAGCTTGGAAGAGCTTTAGAACTTGCTATAGCTCCCGCCATTCAACACGTTTACAATCATAGCAGACTTTCGCGCCAATGGAACATAACGTACACCGTCAAAGACAGCGCATGTCACAAAACAACTGCAGTCGGTAAAACATACGAACTTCATAGTGCGGATGTTTTCATCGGGCCAGCGTGCTCCGATTCCTGCTTGTCAGCGGGTTTATTGGCCTCTTATTGGAATAAACCAATGATATCTTACTCGTGTTCGTCGGTGGAGTTGAGTAAGCGATTCTTCTACAGCACTTTTGCAAGGACACAACCTTTCAGTAGAACATACTTGCACGAGACCCCGGATATACTTTTACAATCCATGAGGGTCTATAACTGGACACGTGCCGCTATTATTTCCACAGAGGATCTCGTGTGGACGCCAGTTGCCATCTCCATGACAGAAATTTTTCAAAAGAACAACATCAGCGTACCGTTCAAAGGGTTTTATGTGCCAAGTTCTTCGTTTTCACACAATACGTTCCTAAGTCAAGTCAAAGATCAAGCGCGAAGTAAGCAATATTTTTCTCTTTTTTTAAGGTTTTTTTAGTGGGAATACATTTTTGAAAAAAAAAAAGAATTATGTATATGTTGTATTAAAGTGTGAGGAACAAGATACATAATACATAAAAAATCATTCAGCGTTCACTGTGTCAAAGAACCCCGCCAGACGTAAGAAGTGTATGAATACGATTTCCGTCTTGAAGACAGAAAAGCACAAAATTTAGCAATTATGGAATGAATCTAGAGCAAAAGGAAAAACAAACACCTTTTCATCAAATCTTACGAACTACAGAAATGTACTTCGTTAGAGATACCAATAAAATGTTCAAGACTCAAGTGGAACTAAGAGCGAAGCAAATTTTTACGTAAAATGTTTGAACACACACAATACGCGTGGTGTCTCATCATATCGAATGTAGCTCTAGACCAATGAGCATGCAACAACTGTTTCGGATATTTTCATATTTAAGGTGGTCTTCGTTGTTCCCCTCATATATATCAAAAAAGTCACGAAACGCAGTGTTGATGGAGATTATTTCAAAACATACATGTACGACTTAAACTTGTACAAACCAAGACATTCATTCGCTCCGTTTTTCAGGCAGGAATGTAGAACTCTATTTGGCTAACCTTCGTTCTTACCTAATTCTTTTCAGTTATCTTTCTTCTTGCCTTCAATAACGAGGTGGCGAAGCTTCTTGTAGCGGCGAATGAACTGGAAATGATGAATGGCGAGTACGCCTTCATCACACTTGATTTCACAATCGACAGTAACTGGGTCAAGGAATCGTGGGCCGGTGGTAGGAGCATGGAAGATTTTGTGGCACTTTTTGATGGTACTGTTAATCTGTCAGTGAAGGGGCCACACGGAGAAAACTACGAAACGTTTGTACGACAATTCAGTGAAACGATAAAGGCAAACAATATATCAGAACTTTCGGTTGTAAGTATTGTTTTATCAAGCAAACATTTTCTGTAAAATTGATAAGTAACATCGTGTTCTGAAAGATTTATGTACGAAATATTGGCCCAATATTTATGTACTTACATGCATTTTTAAGACAATATGTCAACAAAGAAGGAACAAGGAAATTATCGCTTGAGTGATAAATTAAATATCTAAAGGAATAGGAAGTAGATCTGTTGAAAGAGGTTTTCTCTATATAGTGATTGCCATCACTTAAATCTTTCCTTCTTCAACCCTGCAGGCAAGTCCGTAATGTTCAACTGTTAGACTAGTGGCGACCTTTGTTCTTACATGTATAATAACAATATTTTCAGACCTTTCAGTTTGCCGCCTATCTTCATGACGCAATACAACTGTACGCTGTTGGTCTTAATCGATCTGTAAGTCAAGGAGGGACAAAGATTGATGGATTCTCAATTATTACAAACATAAGCAATGGCGATGTACTTTTCAAAGGTGATACGCCTATTAGAATTTTTATTTGAAGGTACAATAGAAACCCGCCTTACATCGAAACGGGCACCTCGTTATTACAACGGCTTACTTTTGGCAACAAGGGAGTTAAGTTAACCTCTTTAATATGATGACACCGTTAGAAATACGAAATTCTGATGGCTCCCTAGAGACTCGAAGTGATGCAAATTAATGGAGTTGCAAAAAGTGTAGTTAATTGTAACATAGCGGAACACGAGATTTTAATTCATGCCGCTCTATTTTCTAGCTAAATTTTGTACTTAGTTATCAGTTGAGACAAAACTGGCCTAAAGGCTCGTTTGTATACCTGTAAAATACAAGTGACTTGTGGGATATTCCAGGGCATACTACTCAAAAAGCATGACATATTTACTAGTATGTATGACATGTCTAAGAATAATTATCCTACTTCTTGACACAAGACATTCAAGAGTTGCAAGTTCAGTTCTCTAACTTCATTAAAAAGAAAGCAGATAGAAACGCAACTGTTTTTGTTTATATTTCAGGCATGTCTGGAGACGTGGCCATCAACGGGGAAGGTAACCGGATACCAGTGTTTGTATTTAGCAACAGACAAAATGGGCGTTTGATTCCTATAGCGGAGATTGATCAAACAAAGCCAAACAATGAAAGTGTCACAGTCTACAATATGACCACACTGTGGCCGAATGGAGTAACGACTGTGCCACTTGATGCACCTAAATGCGGATTCCGAGGAGAAAAATGCTTGAAGACTCCCGAAGGTAAAACAGAGATTTGATTACTTATGTGACTTATGCTATAGAAGTGTTCTTACTTGGAATAACACTTTTGAGAACTATACAAAAAAGAAACATATTTACTTTCAAATTTGTGGCAAGGAATTCCTTCTAAAGAGTCATCAAATCTATGTAACAATGTACTGATACCTACATTTAAATCTATAGAAACCTACATCATTTATCTGTTTTATAACCAGCTGAGTAAAACAAGTACAAGACCAAAATAATTTGGCATCCTCACACGTTATGGGCCATCTGTACTTATATAATTAATTGAGAATAAATACCTTTTATCGGTTGGTCTTAATGTCTGTTAATTGTAGTCCGCACGCGTCAAAGTGATTGACTCGTCAGCTTCTGCCAATTTGGCCAAATTACACGCAATATGAATTAAATTCCGCTCAAGTTCTCGATGTTTGTTACGACATATGTGTAAGACTTTTTGTATTATCATCTTTTATCGTCTTTCGTCTTATCACATATGGGGTTGCACGTTTCTGGTTGACATGTAACAAAGTAAGCAAGCGTACATCCTTCCCCCCGCCCCCCCTTCGGAAAGCAAAAAAATATAGATTGATTATGGCTGCTGTCTGCTCTAATATGCATGGGAACTTACTGTTAAATAAAGAAATTTCATTATGCAAAATGTTATCTTAGCTTGCTATCGTAGAGTTACACTAACCCAAGCTACATGTGGATACTCTGTAATGTTTTAAACTGTGGATATTTTTTGTCTGGGTTTATTTCTGCTTCCCACAGAAAAGGATGAGGAAGAAGGATTCAACTATCTGTGGCTTCTGACCCTGATGTTGATGGTGTTGGTTGTTGGCCTTCTTCTCGGCTTTCTTTACTACAAGTAACGTGCAACGTCCATTTAGTACTTTAATGACCCGATTGTCCCCGTGGTCTGAACTAATTAATCAATCATAACTCATATTTTTACAGTAGCAGTAATAATGATACATTAACAAAGATTTTGATCATAAGAGAAGTTTATCATTCTACGTATTGATCATTTATGACATTTTGTCCTGTGCAGGATGTGCTATTTTGTTACGACATGTTTTCGTGTGCTTCATTACCTCAATTATGTCATATTTTAACAACAGTCTTCCTGAATTTCACTTCAGCTTCTTGTTGTTTAAACTATTTGGGTAAATAAGGAACAATTTGATTCGGCTTAAATTCGCTTAGTGTTAGTCTACTTTCTTTTGCAACCTTCTTAGTTCAGTTTTATTAATACATTTTATTTCATTTACTCTCTATTACTAACTGGATTTAGCCTTTATGTTTCCAGGAGAAAGGTTTATGAAAGGGATCTTATGAATACGTCGTGGGTGATAGATTACAAAGACATCATCTTATGCTCTCGGGGCAGCCGAGTCTCTAGCAAAGTAAGTTGACTTTGAAAGCTTATAACAAAACTTATTTTTTAAATGTTAATAATTACTTGTTCACAATCTTTCCATTCTCTATTCCCTAAATATTTGGTTGACCGGTTTGTTTCGAATTACAATATTGGCCAGAATATGTATTTGATCTATTAAACTAGCAACTACTTAAAAGGAGGTTTTGTGAGTAGTCCGCTTGGATGAAACGCACAAATCAAAATGAGTACATGTTATATTGGTGCGTATTTACATACATGCTTTATTCGAGATGCAAAAAAGTACAAGACATGGATATCATGTGTACCAATAAAACATAAGAGTTGCAAAAGGCACCTTACGCGCGGTGAGATGCAGGGACCAGACGCATATGGACACCATTTTTAACAAGATAAATTCTCTTCAGATAGACCCCATGTAAGCCAGCCACAGTGCAAAAAGAAACCTGCATTCACTTTACGGGACATTTTTATAAATAACGAGTAGACGAGTTACCCAAAGCAAGACGAAATCGTATAAAAACACTCTAAAGCCCAGTTAGGGATCGCAAACTGTTTCCAGGGGAGCCCTGAATTACCAAGTTGAGTTATATTTAATTGATTTTGTACGTGATCCAGGTCAAAACCGGTCCCGGCTCGTTCATTAGCACCATGGGAGGTGACTTAAATATCAGTCTCACAAACGTTGGACGATATAAGGTACGAGGCATTTAAGTGTACGGATGGTACTTTTAGATAAGGGATCACACCTTAGGAAGAACCTTACCATCATCAAGTGCCAGTGATGCGTTATTTATTCCAGACAAAAAAAAGCTTAATCCAGTAACGTGATAGAATGATTTTGAACCGGGGCCTGCGTTTCTTAATCAAAATAGGCGCGTCACGAGTATTAAAGCAGCATAAAGGCAGCCACGTTTAATTTTTAAACTCACTTGTATTTGAACCATGCAATGGTGTCACTTATTTTCAGGTCTTGTGATAGATCAGTCAGTACAAAAAAACAAAGATCTGCTTGGTTAATCGGTTGTTTAAGATACGTCTGCGAACTACTGAAAATGAATAGTACTTAGATTATTAAACAATAATCTCTGACAAGCACGCTAATTATTCGTGATAATATGTTTCAGGCTGAACTGGTGGCTCTGAAGCGACTACGAAAAAACAACATAGAGTTGAGAAGAGAAGTGTTTGTGGAAATGAAACAGGTACATATTTTGCAATGTATTTAAACTAAAAGGGCCTATTTAAACACGAGGAAAATTACGAAAAACTTTGAGTCACTCCTCAATTGCTGTGAAGATTTTTAACTTTATTCCTCCAGTTTAACTGATTTTTTTTTTTTTTTTTTTCATCTACTTCTGTTCTTCCTTCAGACTAAAAAGTCTGTTAGTTTAGAATTAATGACTTCCCTTTTTGGCATCATGGTTAATCTTATCGTTTTGCTGTTTTACAGGTGCGCGACTTAATACACGAAAATGTCAATCAATACATTGGAATGTCCATTGAGTCTCCCAATGTGTGTATAGTCTCTATGTTCTGCACCAGAGGAAGCCTCCAGGTGAATTTTATCTCACTTCTCGCTAATTGCATGCGACTGATATACATATATGGTTTCTGAGAACCATTTCTCTATGGCGTCATGTGATTGGGACCGAGCCTATAAACTATCAAGGCATTTAGGAGGAAGCGTCGCTTGGCAATCATTTGCAGAAAAACCGAACTTCTCGGAGACAAGAATCTCAGTCGCCAGGTTAACTTTTCAAATGAATTTCTTGCAAATTCTACGAAACTTGAGGGGTGCCAATATGTCATACAATTATAAGGTAGTTTCGCATGTACATTCTTTTTTAATTCGAGAAAACCTTAATTAGCAAGAGAGAAAACATCTAATAAATCTCTCGATAGTCACGAAGTTCCGCCGAGATAAAACAAAAATTAACAAAGCTGGTTACAAAGCTCAATACAATATTGCTAGGGATTTCGTAGAAATTGCCGCTACAAAAACAACAAGCTTTAAGTCCTCTTGGTCTCACAGAAATATTTTGTAAAGTTATTCATTAACAGCGTTAGGACCTGACTACCCTAAATAACTACAGTGTTAAAAAAGGCAGGTAGCCGGGTCTACAGATGTATTTATACGATGAAATGATGTTCTAAAAGCCAAGATTAAAGTAATTTCTAACTATGTTGGACAAATTCATTATACATAACGGGTTTTTTACTATTATTCTCTTTTCACCTATTTTAAGGATCTTTTGGCAAACGATGATATCAAAATTGACTGGCTCTTCAGGATGTCATTTGCAAACGATATTGCAAAGGTGAGCGATATTTACATTATTGAAGTTGTGATGGCTTTATATTTTGACTTATCAAAAAGCTAAGAATGGCTAACCTAATTTCTTTCTCCAGGGCATGGTAGCGTTACACAACAGTCCAATAACAGCACATGGTAACCTGAAATCATCTAAATGCTTGATTGACGGTCGTTGGGTTTGTAAAATATCGGACCATGGCTTGGACTCGGTCAAAGCAAATCAAACAGAAGAGGATTTAGGAGAATACGCCGAAAACAGACGTAAGTCGTTTATTGTCATACCCAATACCACGAATCGTCCAAAAGGCTGTTATGATTTTAAGCTTTTATTCCCTCTTACACCAAGGACTATAGAAGACAACCAAGAGAACCATATCGAAATTTCGCGTCTTCAAAAAAGAAATCAGGAGACGTTGTACTAATCTCCTCTTAGAAAGAGAAAACTCTGCCAAATGTTCTAGCAAACCTGAGCGCCATTTGTGAAGTCGACTGTTAACAATATACATGTATCTGTCATTTATCGTCTTAAAGGAGCTCAGTCACTCTATTTATGAGTTATTTTGGCCACGTACAAAATTGCCTTTCAATTGAACGAAACCTGAAAATAGCAGTTTGCTGAGATAGAAGGACACCAAAGGGACAATAACAAAACATAAAGGAACAAGGATGGCTAAGGATTGATTCAAACGCTGAATACCCGGGTTGGCGTTCAGTAGTGAGTACGTGTTAGATGCCCCAACTAATCAAAAGGAGAGTGCTACCTTCCCAGGCAATCAGATACATGACAGAAAAATAAATAAATGGTTACAAGGTTGATACACTACAGGTGGGACAGCGTACCTTGGGACATCATAGTGTAGATCGAACATCAGGCATTATGCTGGCATAATACATGTGCTCTTACTGATTTCTTATGACCTTTGACACTGAGCGATGAATATGTGTGTAGTTTTATTATCCAACTACAGCGACTACCGTCCAAATAACAGTACAAATACAGAGCGATATTGTACAGTTATTTGTACGGTAGAAAACCTGTTTGCTGGACTGGTCGGCGCGCGCACGCAAAACAGTCACAATCGCCCTCTTTCACAGATAAATTTATTGACTACAGCAGTTGGATAATAAAATCTCTTATTAGATGTTTTGGTGTGTAGTATCGCTGTATATTTTTACTCGTTGTTTGCATTTTGACTCGCCCTACGGGCTCACAACTCATAAAAATATACAGCGATACTACACACCAATACGTCAAATAAGATATATGTATTCCAGCACGAGCCTATTAGCGTAGACATATTACAATTCTCGACCATTAAGACAAACCACGAGACGATTCTTACCGTTAAATAACACTGACTGAGTTTGTAAATCTCATTACTTCTCTTTCTCAGCTCCTGCTTCATGTAACATTCCTGTTCTGTTTCAACGTCGCTGTAGTTGTACTGCAATTAAAAGCACATTTCTGAGCAACAGCCGGTTTTTAACTTTTAAGGAACTTGCAACAACGTGAATGAGAGAGGGTCACATTCTGATACAAATCATTCAACTTGACTCTGACACCCTTAAAGGAGTTACGTCACGGTATTTTGAGTTATTTTGGCCACGTACAAAATTATCTTTGAATTGAAGGAAACCTGAAAATAATAGTTTGCTAAGATAGAAAAGCACTTAACGAGATACCAATTAACCACAAAGGAACAAGGATAGTTAAGGACAGAGAAGATTAACACGCGTTGTAAACGACGAACTTGAAAAAGTTAGGCTGAACTTTTCAAGATGCGCAAACCGTGGCCTAGCTCCTTTAAAGTCCTCAACCCTAGTTGACGGCTACACGACATGGCAACCACATGGAATATCTGCTCCATGTCAGTCAGCCAGCAACGTGTCAGCTACCACATTCCCTGCCCCTNTTACTTTTTTCTTAAAAAGTCAAAAAATAACGGAAATTGATACAAAATCAAGCCAGAACGCTTATCACATGTAAAAATTGGTGAATTTCTGGAATTTGAAGAAGAAAACTGGAAAAAAAACTACAGAATTATGTCCAAAAAAGTTGATTTTGGCCAAACCCACATGAAACTAATCGTTGCCATGTAAACGTCAAAAATGATGGACACACAATTGACATATCAAAATATTCGTGAAGGATGAATGAACAGCTACTGAAAGTTTCAGCTCCTCAGAGTAAATCATCTTTTCAAAATTTTGAAAAAACCTTATTGGGGGATGGCATTCACCCCCCCCCCCCCCCCCCCCCGCCCATCTCTGAAATTGCACTTTACATAACAGTACTAACTGGCCTCGTATCTCCTCGCGCACAGTTACCATAGAAACTGAATTATATCAGGCTCCTCAGTAAGCCGTTAAATCGTGTCTCTTAGAGGAGTGGGAGCATTTTTACTTTTCCCGCGTTTACGACACGTTTGATTTCTTTAATTCTGTTTGAATTTTTTTCTTCTGAAGGTCTCTTTTGGACTGCCCCGGAATTGTTGCAAGAAAGGAATCACAAAAGCGTGCAATGCACAAAAACCCAGAAAGGCGATGTATACAGTTATGGGATTATACTCCATGAAATTTTTACCCGCGACGAGCCATATTACCAGTTGGAACCGAAAGGTATGTTACAAAAATTACCTCGTAGTACTTAGTAACGGTAAAAGGACCGAGTGGAGTTCAATTCAGTCTATAATCATACTTGTGATTAAACTAATTGGATTCCCACGAACTATAATATAATTTGAGAAAAAAGAGGACAGAAAGAGTAAGTTTTTGGCAAAAAAAAGTGGTTGACTTGTTTTCGAGATTATTGAGAGAGGGAACGCATTTAAGTGTAACAGTCAAATGAACAACGCGCGCAAATGACGCGTTAACTCTCCAGTCACATCAAGCATGACGCATAAACTGTCTAATAAATACTCAAATAGGGCTTGCTGATAGCCAATCAGTTTCGAAAGTTCTGTTATAGTTAGGATAAATAATGTTTATAATTCTCTCTCCGAGTACTAAACTAAGAGCGCGCTATTCTGTCCTCTCTACTTTCGCCGTCACCATTTGTTTTAAGTGTTACTTGTCTGTCTTAACGCTTTCACTTAATCCTTCCTCTAGATGTCTTGGTGAAGATAAGAAAGCGACTTGTGCCTGCTTTTAGACCTGATGTACCAAAGGATGTGGAGGGATGTGATAACAGATTCATCCGGCTAATGCAGCAATGCTGGGATAACGAGCCCTCTGTCAGGCCAACCTTCGCTGACATAAAACTACAGCTGAAGACGATGAACAGCAGAAAGTAAGTGCCAAGTATCGAGAGGGATCTTTACACTGAACCGAGTGATTTAGTAATTTTGTTATTCATAGTTTACTTCATGAGGGGAAAAAAGGCAGGGCCGTAGCTAGAAACAGGCAAACCATTTTTGCGGAAAAAAGTCACCAAAGTTGAATATTTTGCGGCAAAATATAGCCTAACTACTAACAGCTATTCTAACTTGTTTTATGGACTTGTCTCGTTGTAGAAATTTAGACATCGTAGACAACATGCTTCAGATGATGGAGAAATACACAGATCAGTTAGAGGAACTAGTTGATGAAAGGACTCGCCAGTTGGAGATTGAAAAAGGCAAAACAGAAGAGTTGCTCTATAAAATGCTACCCAAGTAAGTTGTTACAAGTAAAAAGTTTCTACTAAAACTAACTTAACAGAGGCAGTATTCAGTGCAGGAGAATATCTTGTGAAAGATGCAGCTTTAACCCAACTATGTCGATAATGCAAATTGGCTTTCAAATAAAATGCGGATAAATGGCAATTTTGTTCTTATTTTGCTCCTTGTGTGGCGTGGTGTTGGCATCCTCAGTTTTTGTTAAAACCATTTGCCGTGCCCTTCCTGGCGTGTAACATCTGATTAACCTTTTGTCTGAATAGGCCGATAGCTGACGAATTGAAGGTTGGAAAAGCCGTCGAGGCTGAGAGCTTTTCAAGTGTCACGATTTTCTTCAGTGATATAGTGGGCTTCACAAGAATGGCGTCAGAAAGTACCCCATTTCAGGTAAAACGCATTAACTACAATGACCCATCTGTTTCGTTGTTCACTCAGCGAAGAGGCTACGTAATCTACTTATTGGTTGAAAATAACATATCAAACAAAAAATTACAATGCAGCGTCGTTAATATTAATACGACAACCTTTAGGCCTCATAGTTAACTCTGAGGAGAGGTAGTATTACAGCTGTTCTCAACAAGTAATTAAGTGGCTGACGGGACGTTTCCTGAGGATCAAAAAAAGTAGCTGTAATAATAACTTCAACAATGAGCTCTATAAACTTCATCAGTACAATAAAGGCGATTCGTGAGGTTGACTCGCTGTTTCCGCGTTATCTTCCAGGTGGTGAATTTGCTGAACGAACTGTACACATCGTTTGATAATGTGATTGATAATTATGATGTCTACAAGGTAACAGTTACATCACCATTTCTGTATATCGTCCAAATCGTTTTCCATAGTAATTTTTGAGCACGACGGGTAATTAATTAGTCGCCTTAATGTGAACGATAAAAGGAAGGCCTCCTCAAACGATGACGTCACAACATCGAAGCTACAATAGTCTACCGCGTAATGTGAAAAGTAAAGTCCATTTACAGATACTCCATGCAAGGTCTTTATCTGGAAAAATTAATACACAAAGGTCTCCTTTTACTCATGAAGACATATAAGTGTGCCGGACCGAGCGAGGAAAAACAAATACGCCTGAATGTTTTTCAGCATTCATTCATTTTGGAAGAGTTTTACCTGATAGATGAGAATTGGTCGAGAATACAATTGTCAGCTTTGAAATGCGGAATGTTTTCTACCGATAGATGGAATCTGAGATCTGCAAAATTTCCTGCTACAGGGGAGTTCAGAAATAAGCGAACCAACATGTACTCGTAATTTGGGCCAGGAGAAAAATGCGCATACGCATATACCCACACCCTGGGAGGTAATCCCTATAACGGCCTATGCGGGGAGGCTCTGCCCAAAATGGGTACCTCTACAGGTATATGAAAGCATAGGGATTCACAAGTTGAGGTATATGAACGGGTATGGAAATCTGTCATTTAGATATAACGTGAACGGGAACTGAATAACTGAAACCTGTTTTTTTGGATTAACATTTCTTCTGGTAATGCTTGATTTTCTCCCGAAGTATTGTTCATTGGCTTCATTCCAAGGGTTTAGAAAAGGAATGCAGTGTTCTTAAGTAGGTATGTGAAAGAGGTCCCTTTTTTCAATAATAGATATACGAAAGGGGTACCTTTTCTGTCCAAATGGTATACTAAAGGGTAAGGGGTTGGACCTTGGGGCGCAGCCCCCCTGTACAAAACTTGGTAAAGTACTTTCGCCGGGGGGGGGAGACATACGTGTATACAGTGCACACGCGTGTGACTCATTAGTATGTATGTAGTTGAGAAATGGGCTGAAAGTTTAACTGATAGCTAAGAAATTGATGAAAAGGTTATTGGTATTACTGCACCAGTCACACTGTCTCATTATGCTCAATCCCAGTAAATCTATTGTGTAAGTGTCGTGTAAGTAGCTCATCATAATTAAGTACTGTGAGTATTATAAGAATAACATACAGAATCATAATTGGTGCTAGTATCCAATATTTATTGTAAGTAGCCATGTTTTCCATTTGTTGTTGTAAATTTTAAAAAAAATCTACTAGGTTGAAACCATTGGTGATGCTTATATGGTGGTGTCAGGACTTCCAGTTCGGAATGGCAACAAGCATGCTGGTGAGATCGCTGCTATGGCGCTTAATTTGCTGAGCTGTGTCAAGGACTTCACCGTCCCTCATATGAAAACTAAAAAAGTGCAACTGCGGATTGGCATTCACACAGGTAACTGAACTGGTTTCTGTTTTGAAGAGATCGCATGTTATTTTGTGTTATATGTAGATTTCTATTTAGTCAGCAAGAGAATATATACCACAGTTCTTCTCTAGGGAATTGGCAATTGAATATAGTAATTAGATGATGTATGGCAAGGCCTCAAAGGTCACAGTGTACACCACAAGTCAACACACACACACACACATGACCAGGTGTTTTCATGATTTCATGATCACCTAGTTTATGATTCAAAGAGAAATAAATAAACAAAAAATATTTTAATATAGAGTGTAGAATATAGAATCTGCCACCTTGAAAAGCCCGCAAACTTATGTCCACAAATTAATGGTTATCATTACTGACCAGTATTCTAATATTTCCCTTGAAATAAATTCAGGTCCATGTGTGGCTGGAGTTGTAGGACTCAAAATGCCTCGATACTGTTTGTTTGGAGATACTGTGAACTATGCTTCAAGGATGGAATCTAGTGGTCTTGGTGAGTATATATAAAGTATGGACATTCAGTATTCAGTTATTTTTGCATTACTTCAGTATTCAGTCAAGCACTGACAGGACCCAGCTCCATGCAGATCCTTTAACACCACGTGTACACGCTTGTCACAATAACTGAAACCATTTCTAGCCTGGTCTGTGTATTTTCTGGTTGAGTGTGACATTATGTATAAGTTAGTGTGAGGTACATTGGAATAATTTATAGAAAGCGTGCAAATACTAATTTACTATCATCAATTACTATTATTGTAATAGATTTTGCCTCACAATTCCTATTCAACCTTTTCTAGAGGACCTCCACAAAAACTAGCCACAGTTAAGGTGGATTTCATCTCTAAATAATAAACTACCTCCCTGTCCCCCTCTTCCCCCCTTCCCGCCCCCCTAACACCACCCCAAAAAAACCACAGGCTTATTTTAACTTTTAGTTTGTAACCCTACTCAGATCAGAAATGTTGTAGTCTTTTGGGGCCATGATAAGGTGGGGCATGGAAGTGAGGGAGTGGGAGGGGGGGGGGGAGCTCTTTGATACCCCAAAATTACTGTACTTGGCCTATGACCACTTAGTGAGAGCATGATACATGAATTTATTCCAAAACAGAGGAATGCAGTAAAAGACAATGTGTAAGAACCTAATGGTTTAAAACCCTGCTGGCAGAAATTTGCCATTTTTATACCCAAAAATATAAGAACCTGTTTAGCCAAGCAACATCAAGCAGGTTCTTATATGTGGGTATACAGCTCTTGTTATAAAGACAGGGTACATGTACATTCTGTAATCAGTTGTGCAAGACTTATCGTAATACAGCTGGGAATAACTACTAAATATTTTATGACCAAATCCAAGTTTATTTATTTTTCTGGTAGTCAGCACAGAAATGAAGAACCTAATTAAAAACTTAGCTTAAATTGCCAATAACTACCCCAAAATACAAGGACTTATTTTGTCAGACTTCAGAAAATGTAGGTTCTTACAGACTGGTTTTTACTGTATTGGACTGTTATGTACAATGTATGGTGAAAGGTCAAGTCTACATCAGGCTATAATAATATTTTCCATATTGCCTAAGTTTATCCCAGTTTCCATACCATTAAGCAACTAGCAATATTTTTACTACAATCTGATTGGGGGCTAGTCTACCAAAGTCTACCTAGTCTTACTATATATGTCGAGCAGCTTTCAAGCCACAAAATCTCCTTAATCAAGAACTTACCAAGTTAGCTACGGTTGTTTCAAGCTTGTTTCACAGGACCTGTTTTATCCACAGCACTTCGAATCCATGTGAGTCCAGAATGTAAAGCTGTGTTGGACACACTTGGAGGATTCTACTTAGAAGAAAGAGGACCAGTCACACTTAAGGTAGCCGATAAATCTTTTCCTTTTTATCGATTTTTAAAAGCCAGTCACATAAAGATCAATTTAAAAATAAAACATGCAGGTCATGACCTTTTCAACTTAAAATTTAAACGTTATTGTTCAGTCACTGACGTCAATGTAAAATCAAGTTAATATATTCCCGAAGTGAATATTAGTTCAAAGACGAACTGCAAGTAAGCCTTAAACATGCATGAATATATATACAAAAGAACATGGTTGACGAATCATTTCGCATGTTAAATGCGCCAGAAAACCAACAAGCTGACCTTTGATTGCTTGTTGGTTGACTTCATGAACAAATGTCCAGGAAAGAAGGACCTCCGGTCAAACGCAGTTAAATTCGCATGGCTGTTGATCGACGAAACCATTTTTTGCGATTTTAAATTCCTTTCAAACCTTTTCTTTAAGACCAAATGTCCTGATATCCCTTTTAAATCCCCGGACTTGAAGCGATCTGGAGTGATTTGAGCGAAAATTCCAAGCCATGTGGTCTTGTTGACTTGCCGGTGGAGCAAATATGGATTAGCTTAGCAGCCCCGCCTTGAAGTAATATCGCCCCCAGATCTTCTCACTACTCTTCGGGAAAGAGGCGACTGGGTACGAGATTAGCGTTGCTTTGTATGTTCAGTTACGACCCATTTACAGAGTACATTTTCTTTCTTAGTTACAAATATTCATTCCTTTCAGGGAAAAGGAACGATTGTGAGCTATTTCCTGTGTGGTAAAGATGGATTTGACAAGCCTTTACCTAACCTGACAGAGGCCGCTTCACTGGAAGAGCATGAGTTCAAATAGTGATTTAAATCTAGCCAGCAAAGGACCATTACTAGAAAGGGCTGAATTGCTGCGTCACTTACAAACACCAAAATTAATGGTCGAAGGTGGATTGTGGGAATCGTTGATAGAAAACCAAATAAACTCGGTGTTTCATCAGTCGCATAGCATAAACGGCCGCTTAAAAGCCCTGGGCTTTTAGATGGGCTTGTAAACGGAGGGGCTTATATCCGAGGGGGCTTAAAAACAGGAAGAAAAAAACGTTTCGAAACGAGCTATAGCTGCAACATCATAATAAGACGAATTCAAAGCAAGGTAAGATAGAGGGGGGCTTATAACCAGATGCATATGTTGGTCTTCAGGTAGATTGTCCTATAAGCTGGAGGAAGGAGCGGGAGGGGGGCGGTGATAGGCGTAGTTCACGGTAGCAGAAATCCATAAATGCTTACGGACACAAAAAAAAACTTTGATCTTTGTAACAAGGAACTTTAAATTTGTAAATAGACTCATACCAGTATTCGTACCTATCATACGTTTTCAAAACCCAGACACATTGCATTTCGTGAGTTGACCATTTCCGAGTTGCCTTTTGTCTCTGTGTCAAAACGAGCCTACGTGTGAAACCATTCATATGAAAATGAGTTCCGCGTTCAGGGTCACTTTCATGCAAATCAAGCTCATTTTCACAAGAAAGGTTTTGTACGAAAACTCGTTTTGAAACAGAGGCACAAGAAAACTTGGAAATGGCCTATTTCGTTCGTTGCTCTTACGATAGTTAGCCACTTTAGAAACGAGAAGAAATCTGGGGCGAGATCCAATTAGCACTCCCCCTGTAGGACCATTACTTGGGACAATATGACGTTCCATCTTTTGTTTTGTCCCCATGTAATGAAAAGTCCCACAAGGGACCGCGAGATGAAACTTGCCCCAGACTTTTCTCGTTTCTGAAGTGGCGAATAAAAGACGGATACTAGGGCACTGAATGGATAAATCAGAACAAGGTACTGGAAAATATATACCACGCTTAGCAAGGGGGATGAAATACTTCTAAAAATGTAAATGTATTTTTCTGTAGAGGCCAAGATGGTGGACCAAGAAAGCTTGTATTTGTAAACGTAAAAAAAAATGTAAATCTTATTTATAGTAGTCATGCACTTAGCTATACAGCCACTGAAAGAGATGACAAGATGTTAAGAAATAATTATTGTAACTAATAATGATAGCAAAACAGTGACTATAGATCAGATAATAAAGACTTTATTTATTACAAAATACTTTGTTATAACAACTTTTAAATTTGGTGATCACGTGAAATCTGGGTATTTCCACTTTCATATTCTTCTGTGGTTGTATCTACAATTTTATTTTGATTTCACATATACTGAAAATACCATAGATTCGTTTGACAAAGTGGCAAGGGAAAGGGGTTTGAATTTAAAACATTTGTAAGTTTTGCAGTCTTCAGGAAACATTTCCAGGGCTTCTGGTCTATTAATTCAGTTTTCAAATTTGTTAAAGTGCCTACTTTATAATTAATTTTCATTATTTACAAATATTTTCTAGTAAAATGTCTACTTTCATGAAACTCATAAACTACTTCTACACTACGATTTACAGCGGGAAAAGTTCAAGACTTGCGACCTTTTAAGGCAGCTTACAACTGTAACACCAACTGATCAGCGTTACTTAAAAGCTTTTTAGAAACAAGGTGTGAACAAGCCCAGATACCTTTTATATCATAAGATATTCTTAACTGGGCCGGCGCTGTGGTTTGGTTCGGTTACGCAGGTTTTTCAGCTGATATAATCAATACACACAGAGAAAAACCACACATTTGTATCGAACAAATGGCTAAAACAAGACGAAGGAAAGCACCGAGTGTTAGAGCTACCGTCTACGGAAGCGATAACAATGACAAAACCTTTCCCTGAACCAAAACACTTTCAGACAGCATATACACACCTCTTGGCAGAAAGCGGCCTCGAGATTCGCTTTGAAAATATAAGAAAACTTAAACTGTGTCTGTACTGTTGAGCGAGTCTTCAAGCTTAAGTAATCAAAACCATAAGGGAGCTGACAAGGTGTTATCGGGGTGCCTCATCAAAGACGGACACACCTCATGCGCTGGTTATGAAGTGATGCATGACTTGTGTAAAGATGCCTGTTTGATGCACCGCCGAGCTTTCAATTTGGATCATATGAAATTTGTCAACGAGCAAGAAAAACTACAATCGACAACAATCGGCGATAAAAAAAAAAAAGTCATTAATAAATACAAAACTAAGCATCTTCATTCAACTGGCGTTCTGGCTGCATGAAAAGTAGTGAGCTTGGAACTTGATAAAAACCATTTTACTGCAGTGGCTTTGCATCCCCATGAATCAGGCTTGACATATGCAATTCCTAACCAATCATATGTTGACCTGATTCCAGACGTAAGTCACGTGACCAAATCGTGTTGGTTTTAACCACTGATTGGCTTTGCCTTTTCCTTCTTAATCACTGATTGGCGGAGAGCTCATCAATGTCTGTCATCAATCTTTGGTTGCAGATACACTGTGTTGTGTGAGCCGAGGTCAATTCACACCAATTTCTCTGTTCTGTTTGTTAAGCTGCAATTTTCTTGAAGAAACTGTTGTTCCCGTTGTCGTAAGGTTTCTGTGACCGCCACGAGCTTTTTCAAGCCCGGCTGAAATAGCAAAAATTAAATCTACATTTCATTTTGTGCTTGTACATGAAGTAGAATTTGTTTCCTTCTCAGTGTACGTATTACTCCCACACAATCCGAGTTTTGATCAATCCCAAGGTGAGTTAATTTTTTTAACAGTCAAAGAGAAATAATTTTAAACATGAGTATTCCGAGAGGACAACAAAATGACCTGAACAGGATGATATTAACTACAAGGCAAAGTAACCATGCAGTTTGCCCGAGGGGAACGTTGTTTCTGATCCAATTTCAGAAAATCCAGTTTTCTTAATACACAAGGGGTATCTGTGCTTAAATCGGTTGCGCGAAGTACATGATTAAATGTCATTATTATGTTAAGTCTGCAACAGTTATAAGATATCCTATTTTGTTAGGTAAATAAATGTCACGTAATCACCGAAATCGGTATTTAAATCTAAGAATTTTTTTTTCTGCTAGAAACCAAGAGACTATGATCCAACAGACTATTATCTCTTGTAGAAACTTAAAACAGAGCGACAAAGCTATAGGTCAGGCCTATTCCAAGATGGAATCAATAGCCGGGACTGACACGGTCTCGATTATTTGATCAGGAGCTAACCTCTCGCAAAAAATATTAATACAAAGTCAAGCTTGCAGGTCATATGATACAGGAGTTGATCAAAAATAGAATATATATCCAAATTCTCCAAAGCACAGATATAAATGGAGTTATATATGAACACATCAGAAAGCAATTTATTACCTGTGTTTGGCTCAACTGTTGGAGTTCTGACTTGTACGCCCAACAAATGTCGTGAACAGCAGCAAGGTCACGTGATGGATCTGACGACACTTGCTCGGTGCTTGGCGGGATTTGCGTCACGTTCTGGAAAATGAAACAACGATTTGAACAAGACTGTTTGAGGGCGTGACATTAAGGGGAAAGTAAAATACATTGATTCCCTGCTGTTGCAATGTAGGAAAAGTTATCCATAGACAAATCTGTTTTGTGGAAATCTCGATAATGCACGTGACTCTACAGTGAACATCGCGCAACTTTATCCGCGTGTTCAATCAATCAACCAATCTTTATTTATAGAGGGTGAACACCTAATAGTTATACAACTAATAAACTTGTGACCCTCTTAAATATACAATAACTAAAAATCTATTTAAAACCTATGTACGCGAGGCAAGCAAATCCCTGGCTTTCTTTAGAAATGTCATCTCTTTGAGTTCAATGAGTAATGTCACCACCTTGAATTCAGTTTTGTGTCTTGGAAGGTGCCAAGACATCTGTATGACGCTACTCACACACAAACAAATTCAGACACTTACAGGGCTCTGGCTGATCTTTGGTGAGCCCTCGCTGTCATGACTGTATTTGACAGGCCAGTAAACCAAGCCGGGGCAAAGCTCAGTGTCTGTACAATGGAGGTCCCCGTACTATACAGTAAAGACTGTATGAATACTGGAACTACCGTGAAGAGGGGTCCACTGTATATGAAATACGTAAGGAGAAACCTCCTGCTGTTAGACTTCAGCTATTGTAAACGCCTAGAGGGATTTAGCTATCACTGACTGACCTTGATTTTCAGACACAAACGAACAACACTTAACGCTTTGACTTACCGACAACTCATCCAAAAACGCTATCATTTTTTCCTTGTTCTTTAAAATGAATGGATTAACTGGTGTCATAAATGATTCCTGTAATCAAACGACAAGAGGGCAATTCTGTTAATGACTGAAGCGAAAAAAAAAATAACACTCTAGAAACAAAATTCAGATGCTGAGAGTTGTAACGTACCTTGGCGCCAAATTCAACTAAGTTAGCCAAGTTTTGAAGACACTTTGCCACAAGTGTGAGAGTTCGAGCAGCACAAGATGACGGAGATTCTACAAGAGAGTACATGCATCCACAATCAGTGAATCACTCACTGCAACTCGTCACTTGATATCGCAATTCACGAGTTAAAAATGACCCTTGTCTGACGAAATGTCCTGTTCAAGAGGAAGAAACACCATGCAATTTATCATTTGACGTAAAACTTGCAACATTTGTAGCCGAGAGGTGTTTTGTTCTTCCTAACAAAAAAAAAAAAATCGAACGGCGTTTCCTCCGAATGCAAGCCCGAATAACTTAAGTCACATGGTATACCAGCCAAGTAACCTTCAAATGGATGAAGCTGAACTACTGAGGGGATATCAACAATGGCAAAGAGTACAATCAGCCGAGTGAGTAGCCCAGTCCCGGAAAAAACGTAAAACAAAAGGTAACAAACAAGTTCAAAGCACCAAGAATCAATCACTTTCCAAGGATAATGACTTCTACTGCGTTATAAAAAACGCTAACTCACCTGACATCATGTTGCATATTTTTGGATTCATTATGGCGGGACAAATTAACCGCAGGAAAAGGAAACCACTGAAACATGAAAAAACGTACTTTAATTAAAACACCATTCAAAAGACCAGTCAACCTCGTTCCCAGGGTCTCTCATCTTCCCACCCTATCCTTTCTCGATCGAGGAGGGTGAGAGGATGAGACCGTGGGAACGAGGTTGTAGACTAGTGGCCACTTAAAGGAGCTCAGTCACGGTGTTTCGTCTTTTTTTTGGCCACGTACAAAATCTCCTTTAAATGGAAGGAAACCTGAAAATAATAGTTTACTAAGATAGAGAAACATCAAAGAGGTAATAGTAAACCATAAAGGAACAAGGATGGTCAAGGATGGCGAAGATTGACACGGATTGCAAACGACGAATTTGAAAATTTAGGCTAAACTTTTCAAAATGTGCCAACCGTGACTGAGCTTCTTTTAGAAACAAGAGGAAACCTGGGGCAAATCTCACCTCACAGTAGTCTGTGAGAGAAGCTATATTGTCCCCAGTAACGATCCCACAAGTGACTGCTAGATGAGACTCGCCCCAGCTTTCTTCTCGTTTCTAAAGTGGCGTTTGAGCAGTGGCTCTTTTCGTCACCTGGTCGATCAAAAATGAAATAAGTAAAAGACAAAGGCAAGCACTGTCACGTGAAAACTGGGGACTGTCTTTTTTCACATTTTAAATATTTTCCCTTTTTCTGCGACGAAGTAAAGGAAAGAGCCAATGCTCGTGGTCTATTATTTCCAGATGGGTAGCTCTGGTATTGTTGCCATTTCTGAGTTGCCCTGTGCCTCTGTTTCAAACCGAGTCTTCGTGCAACCTTTCTTATGAAAATGAGTTTGATTTGCATGAAAATGAACCTGAACGCGGAACATAGAATTATTTTGAATAAAGTTAAGTACCGCATCTTTCTATGAAGTTCTAAAACATTTTCTAAAACTGATATCAGTGCGGTTTTGGAGGGAAAAAACAGCTCCATGCAATCCCTTTACTCACTCTATTTCCTTATACAACATGGAAATTAAAGTTATCTTCACTTCCTGTGTAAAATAAACTTTCTTAGGGAGGTATAAATTAGTATTGGCACGAATCCAAAAAATCTGACAAAACAAAGAAACACGTCACACTGCGTTTCAGTAACTTGTCAATCTAGTAGTCTAGCAGTGATTCAAATCGGTAGCCTCGTGGTTGTGGCATGAATGCTCAATCAGTTGGCTAAGCATCGAATCCTGTTCTCACGATCACAGACGCTTGCAGTTAGATTTTGGGCGCTTCTCTCTCCACATTTCGAAGTTTCTGTGATTTTTCAGTCCGATCAACGGTGTGGAAAATAGTCTTCGGGCAACAGAAATTTGCTCAGGAGAAAAGCAATCGTTCATCACAGAGCAAACATGGCGGGAAAACAACAGTGGAGAACCCTCCAAGAACCAGTTGATTATCAACAGCAACGAGATCACTTTCCACTCCTACCAAGAGGAAACCAACATGAACAAGCAGGTAATCAACCTCCACAAGCAAGTTATCAACCACAACAAGGAAGTTACGCGCCTCAACAAGCACGTTATCTACCTCAACAAGGAGGCTACCCACACCAAGAAGCAAGCTATCCGTTTCAGCAAGGCTACCCGCCTCAACAAGCTGGTTACCCACCTTGGCAAGCAACCTACCAACCTCAAGAAGCAGGTCATGCACCACATCAATCACAGCTTTCGCCACAGCAACAAGCAGTCATACACCAGCAGCCGAGCGGTATGGAAACTACAGATAGCGTGATATTCGGCGAGTCGTCCGTCAGGACGGTTTGTCCGCATTGTCAGATGACGGTTGTCACCGACACACACACTGTACCGGGCTTCAAAGCATGGCTGTGCTTGCCTTTGTTGTGCGCCCTGTTTGGTTGTCTCGTTTGCTGCTGTTTGGACGAGTTTATGGATGTCGTCCATACTTGCCCGTTTTGCAAGAATAAAATCGCCACTTACGAGCAACCACTTTAGAAGATAACAGTGAGAAAAAACTAACTTAAGGACCGTTTTACACATTGATGAACACTTTCGATGTAACTGCCGCAGTTTCACTAACTCAGATTTAGACAGGAAGAGATATCTGCATGAGTTTTTATAGATTAACTCAGTTTGGACCTGTTTGTGATTAGTATTTCTATTTTTATTTGTGCTATTTTCAATTCGCCTACATTCAACTTGGAAGCACAGCTTCTTTGCAAGTAAGTCTTAGCTTCAGGAATTCTGTTCCTAATAAAGTATTTGATTTGATTTGAATTCATTTGATTTGATTTGACGTTACAGAGGGTATATTTTAGTAATGTTGGCATTCCTTAGTCGGATTAACAAGATAACAATTCAACATAACCAGCAGAATAACGATTGAAACCAAAGATGATCATACACTCTAGGCACGGTTTACTGACTGTCAGTCCTTTTCATCTCCTATTAGGAATAATTCGCTACGACAACACCGTTGTAAGATTCCCCATTTTAAAGATTCCCCATTCCCGTTCCCCGTTCCCCGTACCCCGTTCCCCGTTCCCCGTGCCCCGTGCCCCGTGCCCCGTGCCCCGTGCCCCGTGCCCCGTGCCCCGTGCCCCGTGCCCCGTGCCCCGTTCCCCGTTCCCCGTTCCCCGTTCCCGGTTTAAAGATAGCCTGTAAGGCTGTTTGCTAAGTACCTGCCTAGATATTAGAGAGCTTATTAACCGCGCGGCCATGGGCCGAGCGCGGTTCATGGTTTACTCGTGGTATTTTAACCGCGCGGCCATGGGCCGAGCGCGGTTCATGGTTTGACCGTGGTTTTTTCGTAGTTTTGTCTGCGACCAGACCCAAGCTTCCACTCGGCCAAATTCTGAGTCACGCAACCTGTGATGTGTACTCGCCAAAAGCTGTTGAAACATTAATAAATCTCATCTCCGATACTGACTTTCGCGGGAAAAAACTAAAAACCCAGCGTTCGTCAAAAATTATATTTTTTCACCAGAAATTTAGCTCGGAACATATACATATTTATATTCCTTTGAATCGTCGATGAAATGACCTTTTCCGGATAGTTTTTCTTTCGGGGTCAACAAAAACCTCCGATTACAAAATCACGCCGAACCCACACGTTGCAAAAAAATCTCTTCAAAACCCTGACTTCGAAGCGATATATCACTTAAGCGTTAATAGCTACCACACATTGGCAGGCAGTAAATCTA